GTGTATATATATATATATATATATATATAAGATTACCTCAGTTTGCATCAGTTATATATATGTGGAATAAATATTACAATGGCTGTTTCATTAATATACAACAGCACTTTGGGTAGTATTTATCATAAAAACAGTTAAAACATAATGGTTCATTGCATCATGCATGTATAATCACTGCTACTTCATTTCCACAATCTTTACATTTTGTTTTAACAACACAGGGTGAAAAATAAACTTCATTAACATTTTTTAAAATATTTCTTTTGTGTGTTATTTGAAAAGCAAACCATGCATATTTTAACATGTCAGAGAAAACTGGTTCACTCAATTGGTTTGTGAATTAGAGATTGTTTTAATAGCATTTCTGAAATTGGCTATTTCTCTACTGGTTTTAAGGAGATAGCTACCATCATCATCTGCTGTTCCAACAAAATCTCAGGTCAGCTGAGATCAGACATGGCAGAATATTAGGGAAACCTATTCTGATCTTCCTCCAGCTTTCTCTGACTGCCTCCATATCTTCCTTTACCTGGGGCCGTATTCTGGTCACTTATCTCTTGTCTCTTCTTTCACCAACGAATGACGTCAAAGTGAGAGACGAAATTTGTCTCTCATACACAGTGATGATTCTGGTCATTTGTAACGATCTCATCCTTGTTGTTGACATCACGATTCTATTCGGTTGATTATACATGTTCTGGATATCTGCATGCGCAACATGGTATAGAATTTTAACCAATGAAATTGTAAAATTTTCGAAAATGTAGAGTACCTTATCATAGATCACGTGGCAAGGAAAGGACATGTTCAAATAAAGCACATAATTTCGACAAAGTTATGTTTTTTTGTTTTATAACGTTTTTAGATTGTAATGTCAATTTGTCTCTTATAAAAATTTTAATAACCTAATTTAGAAAAGCGTGCATACTTAAGATATTTTTCAAAATATTACCATCTAGTTCCTACTTAACTATCCAAGTAAGATTAACATCATATTTGATAGTTCAGTAATTGATGTAGGATAATTAAAAAAAAAAAAAAAGAAATCAGTGACATTTCTGAGTAGGCACTGGAAAAAAATCAGAAGCATTTTCTCTCTCAAAATATNTGCATACTTAAGATATTTTTCAAAATATTACCATCTAGTTCCTACTTAACTATCCAAGTAAGATTAACATCATATTTGATAGTTCAGTAATTGATGTAGGATAATAAAAAAAAAAAAAAAAGAAATCAGTGACATTTCTGAGTAGGCACTGGAAAAAAATCAGAAGCATTTTCTCTCTCAAAATATTCTTTCCTGAGATAGAGAATGTTCTCTAATATGATTGTACAGCACGAGTAGCATCCAGTCATCCATACTGGATATAACGAAATCAAGGCGAAAGATGACAGACTGGTCAAAAGACAACTATTTGCTTGTCTCTGATAAACGAGAGAAGCGAACAGAGAAGTTGTCCAGAATCGCATTTAGAGAGATGCGATGATCTCTCAAGACATAAACAAATGATTAGCCAATCAGTGACTGGCTTGTGAGAGATGATAGACGAGAGACAATGACAAGAACACGGCCCCTGGTATCTCCATCTTTTTCTTGGATGTCCTCTTGGTCTTTTCCTCTGTAATTGCTTATCAAAAATTTTTCTTGGAAATCTATCTCTCCAAATCCTTTTTAAGTGTCCAAACCATCTCAATCTAGAATGAATCATTCTATTTCCAATACTATGCACTTCTAATCTACTTCTAATATCTTTGTTTCTTATTTTATCTAATCTTGTTTTTCTCAGAGTAAATGATACTGTTTTGAAACAGGTGGAACATTTCAAATATCTTGGAAGTACACTTCTAAAAAACAGGACAAATAAACAAGAAATAACAAGAGTAGGATAAAGCCAGATATTTTATGGAAGTCTATCTGTCCTTTCATGAGATAATGAAGTTCCAGATGCAGAAAGCTTTTATATGAAGTCTATTTTGTGCTCATTTTGACATGTACTTCAGAAACATGGTTACTAAACGAGAAAGAAAAAGTAGAATTCAAGCAATGGAAAGGAAATAGCTACAATTTTGTAATTTTTAACCTGTCTATTAAAATAAAAATTGCAAAACTGACAAAGATGAGCATATTTCGGTACGATAATTTTTAATTGACAAAATGGAATATCTTGGTTATCTACAAAAATTTTGTTGTATATTTGAGAATTTGTTTGATCACACCATGAATCTATTAATAAAAACTTTTCTTCTTTTACATATGGCTGTAATATTTTAATTAAGAAGTCTATAAAAACCTACATTACATTAAATAATACAAAATCTGATTATAATGTTATAAGTACTTTCTAACAATGAACTGATCAAAGTAAAAAATATATCTTCAATGACCTTAGAAACTGTATATAACAAATTTAAAAATGATAAGAATAAATTATAAATGTGAAAAGAAACCTCACATTCAAGGTTTGAACACTGAAACCTCATGAACTGGTCTTTTCATACTGATATTAATGGTTGTAGAAAAATTTTGTCATAATTTCTTAAGAATGCCTGAATATTAAATTCTGTGGTTTAGTAGAGTTTAATTACAAGTAAATACAGCACATCCACAAAATTTCATTGAAATCAGTGATTACAAACTACCAAGTTTCCCTTGTTGATGGGAAAAACAGTACATGTAACATTAAAATTTTCAAGAAAACAAAAGATTTGTGTTTCAATTCACTAGCACTTTAATAAGCCGCATTTTATTGTGAAATATATTTCTTGAAATGTGAAAAAAAGACAAGATGTACCAACATTTTAAATATTTTGTCTCCCTTTTGAAATTATTTTTGTAAATTTTCCAAGTGTAAACTAATTGTCTTGGTCATTTTATCAAATAAGAGCTATTGATTGCAAAAAAAAAAAAATAGTTCTTCCAAATGCACATTAATGTCCCAAATCACCTTATTAGCTTCTGCAAGATTCATCATCAGCTTTTTCTTTAGATCTTTCACAATTTCTGCAGCAATCAACTTCTTACTCCACTCTTTCTCTTGCCTTATTTCTCTCTGTTTGAGCTTCCATAGTTTATATCTCTGGGTTGCAATTCAAATTGCAAGGATAAACTATTTTGATATATCTGATTATCCCAATCCACTAGCTGACATGACATGACATGACTGTCGTGTCAGCTAGCAGATCCTATAAGTTACAAAAGTCTCTTCTTTTTGGTTTTGCATTATGCATTCTTTGTTGATGGAAAATCTACATTCCATATGAACATTACCAAGCAATATTATTAAAATCATCTTCATAAATGTTTCAAATTCTCTTACTTCACCAAATTGATGCCAGAAATAATCAAACCTGTCATGCTCTCTGGAATAGTATTTAACCATAAAAGTAATTCATGGGGATGGCAAAATGTGAAATGTCTTTGTATTGCTTAGCAATTTTATTTTTAAATTTTATCATTTATCCAGTTATTAGCCATAAGAGTTTGTAATGTAATATTTAGCAGTTTTTGTGCTTTCTCTCTTGTCATTTCATAAACTGGATTTAGGTATGGTCAATTTGCATTTGTGACAATTTTTCCATCAATTTGGTGGTTACAACTTTTAAGCAATTTGTACAGTCTTTTCAAATTTTTAATATCACTGTCAGTTACTCCTTTCATTCTAACTTTTCTAAGTTTCCAATCTTTGGTGACATATCCAAGTCTACTGTATGTACTGTGCAGAGACTCTCTGCTTTACTGAGATCCACATCAGTAAAAAATTTTTTTAATTAATATTTTCTCTACGTGAATATACTATACTTATAAAACTTACAATTTTGAGAAATTAAAAAATCTGTACATACAAATCTGTTTTTAAACATTCAGAAGTAAATATAAATATAAAATATCTAACTAGGAGGCTTTGTCACTTGTTTCCTATATAGACTATTCATAACAAAAATTTTGGGATGATTCAAAGATCCTGAATGTTGTCAGTTTTCCTTTTTGGGACAGAATAAGATTTATGATTTTAAGCTGTTTTATAGAATAAATTAACATAGAAAATTTGTATAAGAAAACATGAGTGTTCATTTCTTTTCTCACTTCATATTCAGTCTGCATCAAGTACAGAATTTCTGATGATAATACTTTGTATATTTTTAATGCGATAATGTGGTTAGTATTATTTCTTACACTCAGAAAAAATAATTTGATAAATTAACAAAATCTGTTTTATAAACACAATTAAAGTTACCATTGAATAAAAAGACACAGAGCTAATAATGTCAGCTAATAAACAGCTGTCTGTAAAATTCCATAATCTGAATATATCTGCTTCCAATGATGTCAGATTAAAAGTATTCTATATATTATTTTCAAAATAATTTTTGTCACCTAACTGACCAATACTAAGTTTATCACCACCAAACCAAACCAACTATCATGAAGCTGTTGCACACCACATTTAATTATACATTATCAACCAAACCACACGATCATCTTTTAAGACCTGATTGTATAATGTCATATTTAAAATTAATAGCTGTTTTTCTTACATTCATTTAGATTTCAAAATTACTATCCAATAATATATTATTATCAAAATAATTTTGTTTTTCCATCTGTATTCTAAAAAATGGATAGCAATTTTAACACTAAATGTCTATGTTCATGTTCATACATTTATTTCAAATACCTATAAAAAAACAATTATGTATATCTGCTAGCACCATCCAAATACTTTTTTATTTTCCAATTATATACACCTTCTATATTTGGCTTTGAAAATAATTCTAATTTTGTATGTGTAGATGTATATAGTTAAAATTTTATGTATTCAATCTTAATAGATCGATAAATACAAAGTAAATTATACTAAATTAACTAACTAAAAGCTATTGAAGGCATATATTGGCACGATCATATTAATCGAACGACTTATTACATCTAACATTTATATTATTACAAGAGAAACTAATGATTTTATATTATGATAATAAAAACGACATTCAAATCATACCTTTTGAAGATGACTTTCAATTACTTTAACAATTTCTCTGGCATTTTCTAAATTATCTTCAGCTAACATCGTCAACATACTGATCAATGGCTTACTATTGCAAGTCAAATCCGCTAACGAAGAACGATATTCTTCGTTAATATTATCTTCCTCCATATTACTATTCATGATTAGAAAAACATGAAAATAATATTCTTAATAAAATCCAAATAGTTTAAGGAACTACAACCATTTTACTTATGGTCATTTTCCCATGATCTTCCTGTTACAACATGGCGTACGAACTTACTAACACAACTGGGTCAAGTGACAAGTAACTTTCAACATCATTGGTTCACTGGCAAAGAACGTAATACAGTTTCACGTCTTTTGACCAATCAACGTCTTCCTGACAAATGCCATTTCCAGATAGTTCTCTTAGCCAATAAGATTCTAATTTAGGCTATTCTAGTTTAAACTAGTTTCGTATTATATATACAAATATTTTTCTTTTGGTTTTTCTGTTGTTAACGACAAATAAAAAACAAAACATTTTGTTTTCATAATTCAGTTTAATTATTTCACTTCAATATTTAACGTGTACAATTTATTTCAGAATAAAATTATGAAAAAACGCATCCTATACAGTACTACTTATGGGTGCGTTCGTAAAGTCGAACGAGTTAAACGAGAATGACGTCATCGTTATTCTTATTTCGTTATAATTCAAGTAAATTAAAACATGACAACTTAAAATAAGACAAAGTTTAATAAATTCTTTTTAATTATTAAATTATAAAATTAATTTGCGATAATAATGTTTACAATTTGTACTAATATCGGATGTGGTTGAGAATTATTAATACAGTAAAAACCTGTCTATGGCGACCACCCACGGTTCCTTCAAAAAGTGGTCTTTTAGACAGGTAGTCGTCCAATACAGGTGGTCCTGTATAACGTATTTCCGTACGTATTTTGCGCGCTTTTTAGCCATTTCTACTAAGCAAAACTGGAGATGAGCAAAAATAAGCGAATTTTTTCAACGATAGGGCTATATTGGCATTGTATTTTATTTTAAAGATTAATACAATACTCGCATTTTCTCCATTATAATGCACATTTTCTTTTTTCCAACTTAATTAATTCGACTCGGTTCTTTTCGTTCTCTCTTCAGTTACGTGTACAGTATTACGTCATCAATATACAAGCGCGTCCTATCTCTCCATCACTTTGCTTTTGTTTTCGTTAGTTTAATCTTATTTTAACTTTAAAAATACTATATTTTTTAAATATTTAATATTTTCTTAATTAATTAAGTACAATAAGAAAAATTATTAATTAATAATAAAATGATTTTATTATTTTTTTCTCGTTGTACGATTTCATTACAATCGCGGAATCGAAAAAGGAAGTAAAACTGATTTTTGCATTAATGCGTTTATTGTTTTTTGAATATTTTGCCTGCGAAAATTACTTGAATATTATTTTTCTAAAAATATCGTGGAAATAAGGTAGGTTGATACAGAAACTATTTATCGCACGTGTACTGTATATGAGCTTCAAAAGAAATAAATAAAAATAGATTTTATCAAGCGATAAGATCAGCAGATTAATTGTATCGTGTACAATATTTTACACCCCCCCAAGGGAAATACTGTAGGTCTACGGTAAAATCAATTTCGTTTTCCCACGGTTAAACTTCGCTGCTAATTGCTGTTGCAGTACATTTCTTTTGTTTTTCGGACATTTTCCAACAAACAAATGAATTTCTTTTGTTGTTAGACTAATTTATTAACACCTGCACCTAATTTCGAGGGTGGGAGAAGTGCCCGGGATGGGTTCGAACAAGAGTTTAGACTAATTTATTATATTAGGAGGGGGAAACGTTGTTGAGATGGGTTCTTACAATAGTGGTCGCTTATTACAGGTGTTATACGTATGTTGTTTCGGACCAAAAATCGATGCCCGCGGTCGCGTTACACAGGTGGTCGTTTAATACAGGTAACTTATACAAAGACTCTATGGGTAAACTATTCCGTGCCAGAAATTTTTGCCCATTTTGACAGGTGCCCGTCGAATGCAGGTGGTCGCCTAAGCAGTTTTCACTGTATATTCGTCTATAAAATTTAATCCATGAATTTTTTTGGTAGTAAAATCGACTTGCCAGTGTCTTTCGTTGATAATTGATGCTTTTAAACATAATCTATAGCCCAAGATTTCTGTTCAAAAATTAATTTTGTGATCTGAAATAATTCCATTAAAAAATTATTCATATGAAAAATTAATTTTGTGATCAGTGCTACCCAAACCACTACTACTACTACTATTTACACCATAGACTTCTACGAAAAATTTTTTCCCGCGAGTTTTAATAGAATTTGTTGCCAATAAACATCCAAGAACAGCCAGTATGTCGTCATCAGATGCCATGGCCGACTGACTGACTGAGAGACAATGGCGTAGCGAACATAACTGGCGCCCGGGCCGCGACACTACATTGGCGCCCCCTCCCCCTCCAGAAACAAATTTTGTTTTTCTTGGAAACCATTTGGCTCCCCTCTGCCAGTGGCGCCCGGGGCAAGCTGCCCCACTCTCTGCTGAGAGGTTTTCTTCGTTTTTGGGCGATAGGAAATTCGGAAGTTCCTCGAGGACAGGCAGTCTCAAAGGATTAACCAATGGTGTATAGCAGCCTTAAGCCTTTTACGGGACATTCCAATTTTCAACACGAGAGTTGAGTGTTGAAACCAACAATTTGACGACGTTCAAACTTCGAGTACGAAGTGCTTAGTTTCCTTAATTCTCTTCTCAGC